AAAAAAAAAACAAACTAAATTAATAAAAAAAGAAAAAAAAATTCCTTATATGTAATGGAAATGTTATTTATTATTATGAAAACTTCAAAATTTACTTAGATTAACATTTCAAACTTGCCTTTACTTTTTACCCTATAGGACAGAGAAACTACTTGGCAGGGTTTTCATGGATGCAAATCTTAATAGAAGTATACTACTTATGTGGCTGTTAGAACAAACGATCTTTTGGATAGTAGCATAATACTTCAACCACTACACAACAAGGGCTTCTTATTTATGGCTGCCTCTAACAGTCATTAGATAACTATTTGTCAATTAAAGGCTTATTTTAAATAGTACTTGATATAAAATAATTTACTAAGGTAAACAAAAGGCATGATAAATATACCAAAAAATAAATTTTATGGGTGTGTATTTTCACTCATAAATTACACAAGATTTTATAGATACAGGATATCTAGCATATAAAGCTTTCAAATGTTTTTACTAAAATAATGTAAAAAACATATTTTGGATATATGCAAATGCTGAGAATATTAATAATCTTCAGTAGTATCTTAATTTCTTGACATCAGTACTGACAGAATTAGAAGATATTCTTTAAATCTGTAATATTTCAAACTACAAATACTCAGAAATATATCCATTACCTTCACAACCATACCTATGAACAATGCATGCCTGGCATGCAGCAGGTATTCAATATACTTCCACGGAGGGAAAAAAACCCCACAAACCTTTAAAACTCAATTGTTAACTTAAAAATCTCTAAGTCTAAAACTTGGTTCACGGTATAATGCAAACTTATGAATTAATAAAATATGTACTTATGTTCTGTGGGAAAATAACACTGCTTGCATAAATGGCTATACTTTTATATTTTTATGACATATTTTTATTGTATATAATCATCTACATTGTTTCATGAATGTACTTTGCTTTATACAATCTTTCATAACGGTTATATTTTTCAAGTACTGCTCATCAGTAATATTCTTGAATCATACAGAAAATACATTTTCAGTAACTTAACATATTGAGAAAATAATTATGTACTTTAGTATAAAAATATACACACCAGGTCATAAGATATATAAACAAAATGCTTTCTGAAGCACTGTATGTAGAAGGAAAACAAAAAAATAACTTGAAAATCTAGGATAGAAAAAGGCTAGTATAACAGACTCTGTAATAAAATTGTATGTAGCTTTTGTTTATCATGTAAAAAAATTTAAGAACAAATAAATGTTAAAGCGAAGCCTCAGGCAAATGCAAGACAATTTAGCAAAGAAAAAAATAAACATCCTGAGTTCTATTCAGAGATGAAAATATTGTCAAGTTTTCTGGGTGGAATTTAATTTTCTCATGTATTTATGTGACTAGTTCCTAACACAGGTATTAATGCTATATCTGTATCTAAAATGATAAAAGACAAATTATATTTGTATCAATACTAGGACACTGTCATATCCTTTTATGGATACATATACATATAATGTGGTAACTTATTTGTTCATTTAATGTTTAGTATATTTACATGTTACTAACTTGTTACATACTAAATTTTATAAATATGTGATGATCTACTTAACTATTACACTTCGGTGGGTAGTGAGGGTATTTCCATTTTTATGTTCTGAATTCAGAATATTAACTTGGAATAGTAAAAAAATTGAACTATTGGCCAAAACAACTTGAATATTTAGAAATTATTTTTAAATAAAACACTAGCAACTCAACAAAAGACAACCCAATTACAGAATGAACAAAGAACATACTCAGTATCATTAACCAAATCAAAACCACAATGAGAAGCCATTTCGCTGCCAGTAGGGATGTCTAAGATTTAAGGAAACAACTAAGGAAAAACAGTTAATGCTGGCAAGGATGTTGAGAAACTACAGTTCTTAACCATTTGAGGCAAGGATGATGAAGCTTCAGCTCACACATTTTGGGGATGTTGCTAGAAGAGGCTATTCCTTGGAAAAAGACATCACACTTAGGAAGGTGGAGGGTCAGTTAAGACAGAAGAAGACTATCAATGAGATGAATCAACACAGTGACTGTAGCAATAGGTTCAAGTGTGTCAGAGATGATGATGATAGCACAGGATAGGTTAGGGTTCAGATCTGTATATTCACTGTGTTAGGAGTTGTACTTGAATGGACAGCACCTAACAATATATCCATTGCTGGTAGAAATACAAAATGGTACAACTACTGTGAAAAACAGTGTGGCAGTTCTCCTAAAAAATTAAAACCAAAACTACTATACAATCCAGTAAGTTCACCCCTAGGTATATATCCCAAAAGACTTGAAAGTAGAGACTTAAAAATGAGACCTAAATAACAATGCTTAATGCTGTACTATTTGGAATAGACAGAAAGACTCTAAATGTTCACGACTGAAGAATAAACAAAATGTAATACACACATACAAGGGGATACTCAGTCAAAAAGAGAACAGAAGTTCTGATACATGCTACAATACAGATGGAGCTATTCTAATTAGTAAAGCACAAAAACTTTATTACCTCATTTAAAGAAAACAGAAATAAAAGGCCAATGCATACAAAGCTTAGGAAGTTTATTAGTGGTTATCAAGGATGACAGATAATGAGAAAAAGGAGTGATGATAGAAAAAAATCACATTAAGGTTAGAACTGCAAATATGATTATTTTGCTATCAATAAATTGTAAACCTCTAAAAGGCTGACCAAAAAAAGTTGTGAAAAATATATATACATACATTTCATAGAGGGAGAGTAGCTGTTGAGTTGACTTATGTACAACCAAATAATTTCTTAGGGCTCAGGTTCCTTTGTTTGGCAGTTTATGGCCACCATTTCATAGAATATTCAGTTAACTGCCTAAAAATATATTTAGTGTCATTGTTCTTACTCCAAGTTTGTTGCATAATATCAATGGTCTTAAAAACTTGGAAGCATTCACCAATGCACAACTGATTTCTATTTATCTAGGAAAAAAGAGGAAGGAGAATCAACAGGAAGGGGATATACAATGTGTGTGGCTAATAGCCTCTGGAAACTCTATGAACTTTGATAAATGATGATAGCTATAGAAAGACTTGAAGCTTTTTGTTCAGAGGGTTGCTATGAGTCATGCTTGACTTGATGACAATAGTATTCAAGAATAACTGCCTCATTTCCCATAATACCAGAAGAAATGGATGATGTGTGGCTACTGAACATTTTGATCAAAGATTTTATACAAGAATTCTGGTCAAAAGGAGGAAAATGCAGTATAGAATTTCTAATTCTTAATCTTACTGACTCAAGAATTCCAGAGCGAAGAAGGTAGATGAACCCTTAAAATATTGCTCTGAGATAACCTTTAAACTTTAAAACATTTCTTCCGAAGTTATCTTAAAATAAAGAATTTCACTTTACATGGTAAAAAAATGCCAGTTCAATCCATGTGGGATCAAGTAAGTAACAGAAACTCAATGATTAAACAGGAACCTTAAAGGGCAGTGAATTTATATTAATGAAAGAAAAATAACACAGGAGAAGTGAGATTGACTGCACTTACTTGAAGAAAGTAATTGTCACAGAAAGTAACAGTCACTAAACCGGATATGAAGTAACTGCTGGATTGGTATATAAATGTTATCTACTTATTCTCAGCATCAACCAAAAAAAAAATTTAGACAAGAAAAATTCTTTAAATATATGATTATACTGTTTTCTTAAAAGTATGTACTCCTTACAAACAGCTACACAGAATATATTTTATGAAACTTTTATTAAAACTGAACATTAAAATTATTAAATGTTCACCAGTGTTGGAGACACAAATCTTACTGTCTTTAAAAAGTTACATAATACACAGAGCTACTCATGTTGCTTTTATAATGAACTGCTATGCATGTGTTCATGTCCTTTTTATCTATTTACTAATAAAATGTACCATCCCCAATTAACAATTTTTAATCAATATCAGTGGCTCAAGAACAAAAATATTAGAGTAGGTTAAACAATCAATGTACATTATAATTTCTTAAATTAATTAATAAATTCCATCAAAATCATGAAAACTGCAATCAATTTTGTAATAATCAGTTAAGTTATACCTGCTGAATTCCAAGGCACAAATATAAGATACTGTCTGGATCGTATTTTTCACCATTTGGTCTCCGCACCTCTTGGATAAACTGGCATAAGCCCAAACTCAACTCAGCAAAAGTGCAGGATAAAATATCTTCCTTAAGTTTGATAGTACGGACTGTGAAAAGGCAAAAAACATCTGAAATATTAACTTTACAACAAGCAGAGTAACATCACATGATTTAACACAATATACATTCAAACCAACTGTGCCCTGATGTATGATGTAAAGTGGTTGATAAGATTAAATGCAGATATTGTTCTTAAAACTTTAAGAAAATAAAAATGCAGTGCATATGATATGTTTTATGATAGAGGGACATCTAATAGACTGAGAAATGTCAGCTTAGATTCTGGACGATGAGATAATTGAGCTAAGTCTTAAAAAGGAGAAACAAGTGGCTAGGTAAAGTATTCCAACTGAAGGGAAAAAAAGAAGTCTCTAAGATCTGACAAATTTTGAAATGCTGTAAACTGGTGGCCTAGTGGCAAGAAGCTGTGCTGCAATCCTCAAGGCATGCAGTTTGAGTCTACAAGCTGCTCCATGGCAGAAAGATAGGCAATCTCCTCCTGTGTGATTAAATGCATCTGAAAACCCACTGGAGGGACACCTATGGGTCAGTTCTGACTGGACGGTACACAACAACAACACATAATATAAACATTTTTAAGGAATTTACTATGTGTCTTTCAGTACATTTAAAAGGTTCTGAAAATATCTGAAATAACAAATGCTATTTAACTTTAGATCATATTTTTATGATTAAAAATCTGAAATAAAAGTCACTGCCAGACAGCTGATTCCACCTTCAAGTATCCTACAGTATGTAACAGAAGACTGTGGAGACAAACTAAAAAGCAGGCCTAGACATACACTTCTGAAAAAACAGGCCTTATAAAGTCCTATAGATTACAAAGAACATTGTTGGGCATAATACCAGAAAATGAGCTTCTTAGGGTAGAAGGCACCCACAATGCAATTTTGAACTGCCACCTCCAAGTCACATCTACCATAAACATTCAGATGGACGAAGCACCTTCATTTGCTGATGTGGCAAGATTCAAAATGAGGAGAAACAGCTGTAAACATATATTAATAAATGGAACATGAAATGTTTGAAGTATGACTCTAGGAAAATTTAAGTTGTCCAAAATGAAATGGAATGCATAAAGATACGAACATCCTAGGTATCAGAGAGCTTAGATGGACTGGTATTGAACATTATTAATTGGACAACCATATGATCTACTATGTAAAGAATAATAAATTGAAGAATATAGTTGCATTCATAGTCAAAAAGAGCATTTCAAAATTTATCCTGAAGTACTATTCTGTGAGTGATAGGATACTACCCATATGCACACAAAAGGATCTAATAAGATGACCATTATTCAAATATATGCATGAAACACTAAAGGCAAAAATGCTCAGGACAGGGAAGGGTTAAGACCTGCTGTACACAGTGTTGCTATGGGTTGCAGGTGACACAGCAACAACAAACCAACTTTGGCAGTAAGAAATGATCAAACATGCAATCAAGAGTTATTAATTAATTAATTGGTGAAATGTGGAAAAAGAATGATAATTTGAAAATACAACCTTGGTGACAGAAATGAGACTGGAATTTTCAAGATAAGAGTTTCAATGATTTATACTCTGGAAATACCTTTTTTAAAAACAAACAAAAAACACCAAACCCAAAACCCCAAACATTGTGCAGCATGGGTGAGCCTGAGAGACGCTAGACCGAGTGAACTATCTCAGTCACAAAAGGGCAAATACGGAATAACACCACTGTTATAAAAAGGAATGATATGGGAGGTTGAGGGAAGAATATGAAAAGAGTGGAAGGATAATGAACACTATATTGGAACAGATATGGGAAAGAACTCTATCTGAAAGGAATACATGATTAGGCATTATACGTATGACAACAAATGGGAACAAGAGGTACACTTCAAAGTGGACTGGGAGCAGTGGAAGGCAGGGTGAAGGAAGAAAATGTGCAACAATCAATGGGAAAAATTTTTTTTAAAAGTAGCATGACACAAGAATCAGACTGACTGCATCTGTGGAGAGAGTAGAGAAACTCAGTATTAGCTGTCAAAACAAGGCCAAGGGCTGACTATGGGTAAGACCACCAACTACTCACCTTCAAGTCTAAATCGTAGGTTAAAAAAACAACCATCAGTACCAAAATACAACCTTGAATCTAAAGTGAATTTAAAACCTTAGTAAGAATATATTCAATGCACAGAGCGCTAATGAATGAAGACCAGAGAAATTGTGGGGTGACATCAAGGACATGACTCATAAAGAAAGAAAAAAAGTCATTACAAAGACGAGGAAGAAAGAAAAAAACAAAAGGGTTAATAAGAGACTCTGAACTTGCACTGGAGCAAAAAAGAAGTCAAAGTAAAGGAAAATAACACTGAAATCAAATGATGTATTCAGGAAATCTATTAGGAACATTTTTCAAGTGTTAAAGTGCAAGGATGAGAATTTAAAGTGTGTCAGATGCAAGCCACGGATTTCGAATTGCTTTGTATACACTTGAAAATTAGATAATGAATAAGGAAGATCAAAGAACAAACAACTATGTCTTGGAAGAAGGTCAACCAGAGTGCTTCTTAGAAGCAAGGATGGTGAAACTTCTCATTTATTTTGAGCATTTTGTCAGGAAAGGCAAGTCCATGGAAGAAGACATCATGCTGGGAAAGAGTGAGATGGACTGACACAATGACTTTAACAATGGGTTTAAGTGTGATGGAGATCATGAGAATTATGCAGAATAGAACAAAACTCTTATCTCTTGTACATATAACATCATTTTTTTTTATGTTTTTTTTTTTTTTCTTTTTTGGTTCCCTGACCAGGAATCGAATACACATAACATCTTAACACACAGTCAAAGAATAGAAGTGTGTACTAGGTCTCAAAATTGGAAAGTATTAAGTTCAAGTATTTAGGTGTACAGTAGAATAGCAAGAAGCACAGGTGGGAGAAGATTATGAAGAAGAATTAATTTTGGGCAGAGGAATTATCAAATAGAATTTATACAACTCTAAACATAAAAGGCTAGTTTATATTGTAAATAGTGAATGAAAATGTCTTCTAGTAATTGCACTTCTCAATTTAGACAAAATTACATATTCCCAGCACTTAGGCTCCCCGAAGATGTCTCTGCAAAGGGAAAATAGTTTATAAGATAAAGAATTATTGTCTGATTTATTCTCTCCAGGACCTTGCACCATATTTGGTAAATAATATTCAATATCTTATTTTCTGGCTAAGTAATAGAAATTCATGGGCATCCTCTGTACATTAATACACTTAGTTAATACATTTAGGACCTGCAATCTTATATAATATTCTTGCCACATTCACTTTCCTCTCCATCATTTGTTCTAAAACAGAGTGCTGTGATTTTTACTGACTGTTGCTGAGTCAGTTCCAATTCATAGCAATGGTCCATTATGTTTCTGAGGTGAAAATCACAATGGAATGAGAATACCTTTCTTGCTTCCTCAGAGGTGCTGATGGATTCAAACCTCTAGAGACATGCAACATAAAGAGTTAGCAGCAAAATTCACTATGGAGGTGGTCTGGCACTTTTTCAAAAATTTGGTAATAGAAATACCATTTGACCCAGCAATTCCAATACTGGTAATACACCCTAAAGAACCATAACTGCCACCCAAACAGATAAATGCACACCTATGTTTACTGCTACGTTATTTACAACAACAAAAAAGATGGACGCAACCCAAGTGCCCATCAACAAATGAATGGGTAGAAAAACTATGGTATAGTCACACAATGGAATATTACGCAACACTGAAAAACAATGAACTTGTAAGACATTACACAACATGGGGGACACTGGAGGACAGGATGCTGAGTGAAATATCTCAGTCATGAAAGGACAAATACTGCTTAGCACTACTGTTATAAAGCAGGTTTGACATGGGAGACTGGGAGAATAGGGTAAGAGTGGATAGATAATGACCACTTCATTCGGACAGATAAAATGAATATATTACACATTATACATACAACAATAGCCCAAAATAAGAGCTATAACATTGCAAAGAGGACTGGGGAGTGGGAGGGGAGATAACTGTGTAACAATGAATAAATATTAAAAAAAAAGTGAACTGAGGGAGGGGGGAAGAGAGGATGGGGCTAAAATGTGCAACAATGAATGAATGAAAATATAACTTCTAATTAAAATAAAATTTTATTTAAAAAATATTAAAGAAGAAAAAATAAAGATGGCTTCATCACTTATTCATGGATTAAGGACTGTAACATGATAGAGCCATTATGGAATACAGTTCAAGAGGGTAAGAAGGGTTCAAGGGAGAAAGAAGGGTACACAATAAATGAGACATTTAAAAACACCTATAATGAAAAATTTTATCTTACTTTTATTTTACCTTCAATAAAAATGAAATTTTTAAAGTGAAGGTGGTTGAGAAAAGCCGAGTTACAGATTAAAAGAACTAGAGGCATATTCACCCCATGTAGTATTTAAACTTTCTGTGGGTCCAGACACAAAACAACTAAATTAAAAGTAATAATTTGAGACTATTATACAAATTTCACCATGAATATTAAGGGACTGCTTGCTGATTCTGTTAGGTTTGATTATGACAACACAGAAAGTTAAAACAGAAGTCTTTAACTGAATGGAAAAATCTATTAACATATTTGAGTAAAACAGTATGTATCTGGTAAGGAGTGATAAAAAAAACAAACCAAACCAAGACTTTTTCCTAAAATGAAAATTTCAAATTATAAACTTTATTTACAGATATAAATAAATGGACAATGATGTTTAAAACAGGGAGAAAAGTTTTACCTCTACAGGTTGGCTCTGAGGAATCTTGATGGCGTGCATGGTCTTGAGGATTTCCTAAGGAGTCAGGACATGGGCTGGATGACACATGTTCAGCACCTGATAAGGAAAGGAAAACAGATGAGAAATTTGAATATAAAAAGTAATTAAAATCCAAACTGAAGTTTTCTGGAATCTGTGACCTAGAATTTTTCTTCTTTGTATAGATTTATAGCCTTATTTCTCAATATTTCCCCCATCTGGATTAAGACACAAATTTACACTGTATATTTACCTCCACATTTCAGATCCTCCTGTTCTTCCTTAGCATTTTTCCACTGAACCCAATTCTTCCAGGCATTTACTCCATACATGTATTTCAGTGTCATCCCAGACACAGAACACCCTTGAAAAGCTCCTTGAATAAGACTCCTGGGCTCTACAGACACAATAGACTTCTTCCGTCCCTGTAAGGTAATTTTTAAGAAAGGGAAAAAAAAGGTGAGAGAACTTATATTCTTGATTTTAACACTCAGCATATAGTTACAGTGATCAAACCAAGCTAGTTCTGATACAACAGAAGTAAAAACCAATGAAGATAAAAGGAGATTTTAAAAACGGATTTATATATTAAATTTTAAAAGATGTCAATGAAATTTAATTGGGAATGATTAATTTTTTTTAAGAACAGTAATAACATGCTGGAAAAAAGAGAACTTTGACCTTTACCCCAATAAATTTTTAAAATTACATCAAAATGGGATCAAAATAAAAGCTTAAAGTTTTATAGAAAACTTTTGAAAAAGAGTATCTTTCATGGTTTAGACAAAATTTCTAGATGAAATACTAAAAAAGAAGAGCTAAAAGTAAAATATTGATAAATCGGACTTTGTAAAAATGAAAATTCAATGTTCTACAAAAGACATCATTAAGAAAAGTTAAAAAGACATATAGCAGAGTATTTGGAAACTCAATGGTATCTATAATAATAGAGAACACTTAAAACATAATACATTTGGTTCTGAGTAAAACTGGAAAAATGAAACCCATCACCAATCCCTCCAAAACAATGGGGGGGGGGGAACTGTATAAAAAATTTGAATAGTTTTGAAAAAAGGATTTGACCAAAAATACAGATATATGACACACATGCTTAGGAAAAAACATTAAACATCACGTATAATGAGAAATAAAAACTTTAAAACAATGAGATAATATAAAAAGGAGACAAGATTACTAGATATTCTAGAATTAAAAAAATAATAATAATAAACTATGGAGCAGATGGAACTTTAATATACTGCTGGTGGGAAAGCAAAATGGTATCTTACCCTGGAAAAGAAGTTGACTAACTCTTACATTAAAAATACACATACTTTATGACTCAGCAATCCCATTCCTAAATATTTTCCCATAGAGAAATGAAAACATATTTTATGCAAAGACATTCAAAAATATTCACTGCTTTTTTATACAAGAGTGTCAAAACTCAAAGCATTTTAACTTTCCAGCAACTGTTAAAACAGTTTCTAAAAAACTTACGCTTTACACATACAATGAAATGCCACTGAGGGGTAAGGGGAAAAGGAGTACATGTAAAAACCATATTTCTCCTCACAGAACCCAGCCTCCAGGATAATCTTCTGCATACAGATTGAACAGGAATGGAGATAGGATGCATCCCTGGCATACACCCTTCCCAATTCTGAACATGCAGTTTTTCCTTGCTGTGCTCTGACAACTGCCTCCAGGCCCAAGCAGAGGTTTTGAATAAGCTTGATCAAGTGTTCTGGGATTCCCATTCTTCGCAGAGTTAGCCACAGTTTATTGTGGTCCACACAGTCAAATGCATTTGCATGGTCAATGAAACACAAATAGACATTCCTCTGGTACTCCCTGCTTTCAGCCAAGATCCATCTGACATTAGCTACAATATTCCGAGTAGCAAACCTGAATTTCTGGCAGTTCTCTGTTGATGGGCTGTTCCAGTTTTTTTTTTTATAATCTCTAGTAGAATCTTGCTTGCATGTGATATTAGTGATATGGTTTGATAATTTCCGCACTCTATTAGATCACCTTTATTTGGAATGCAAACAAATATAGATCTCTTCCAGTCAGCTGGCCAGGTGGCTGTCCTCCAGATTTCTTGGCATAACTTGGTGAGTAAATCGAGGCCAGCATCTGTTTGTCGAAATATGTCAATTGGTATGCCACCAATTCCTGGGACCTTGTTTTTTGCCAATTCAGCTTGAACTTATTCCTTCATCACCACAGGCTCTTGTTCATATTGTTGTTTCATAAAATTCCTCTGTGTCCACCAATGTGGCATCAGGATTGGAGGTAGACTCATCAACAATCTGTATTATGCAGATGACAGAACCCTGCTTACTGAAGCTGAGGAGGACCTAAAGCGCTTATTGCAGAAGATCAAGGACTGCAGCCTTCAATATGGATTGAAGCTCAGTATCAAGAAAACAAAGATTCTCACCACTGGGCCAATTGGAAGCTTCATGACAGACGATGAAGAGACTGAGATTAACAGCTTTAGTTTGTCTGACTCCACAATCAACACTCTTGGCACCAGCAGGCAGGAAGTTAAAAAATGCATTGCATTGGGGAAGTATGCTGTCTGAGACCTATCCAAAGTACTAAAGAACAGCGAAATCAGTACGAAGACGTAAGGTGCATTTGCTATGCATCAGAGAGCTGGACGATGACTAGGGATCATAGAAGGATAATTGAAGACTTTGAGCTGTAATGCTGGAGAAGAGTGTTGAATATACCATGGGCTGCTTAGAGAACGAACAGATTCATCCTGGAGAGTGAGACCAGGCTGCTCCTTGGAGGCAAGGATTCTGAAGTTTCGCCTGACATACTTTGGAGATGTTGCAAGAAGGGACCAGTCCTTGGAGAAGGATGTCATGCTTAAGAGGGTAGAGGGGCAGTAAGGAGAGGAAGACCCTCGATGAGATGGATTGATTCAATGACTGGGGTAATGGGTGTAGAGTCTCAGAGAGAGTGAGATTGGAACAGGACAGAGCAGAGTTTAGGGCCACTGTATACTGGGTCACTATGAGTTGCAGGTGACTTGATGGCACATAAAAACAACATGTACCAACACAGATGAATCTCAAAAAACTAAGTCAAAGAAACAAAACAGTAATATTGAATATTATAGAGATCCATTTACATGGTATCTTTGAAAAGATTAATTAAGCAGGTCACTTGTTATTAGGAGCTGGAATTTCTTGAGAGAATGGAAATTTCCTGTATCATGACTCTCTTATTATTGTGTGCCACAGAGTACAACTCATACGGACCCTATGAACAACAGATCTGAACTGTCCTATCCTGAGCGTTCCTTATAATCTCTCGACATACTTGAGTCCACTGCTGCAGTCACTGTGTCAATTTATTTTGTTGCAGTTCTTCCTTTCTTTCACTATCCTTCCATCCTTCTAACCATGAAGTCCCTTTCCTAAGAATAGCCCTTCCTAACAATATGCCCAGAGCATGAGATGACATTCTGCCACTAAGAACAATTCTCTCAGACAATACCAAGTGACTTTTAGTCCATGCTTGAATGAAGTGCACCTTAGTTTTTAAATGGACATTACTGCTCTTCAGCAATTTAGAGTGTTGCTTTACAGCAGATTTCTCCAATGCGCTAAGTCTTTAAATCTGGGTGGGGGTGTTCTATCCTTCCTGGTTTTATGCAATACATTCCTTACCATCTTCCTGTGAATGCACAACTCATACAACAGAGTAGTTTTACACAGAGCTTAAGAAGCCTAAATGCATCAGAGACACACTCACTTTAGAACTGTCCTTGACTGTGGAAGCATCTACCAAATTTCTAATTACAATCTTCTTAACTGCCGCATATTTGTTCACAACATTTCTTTTTCTTTGTTAGTTTTTGAAGTAATGAGCTGAGAGTAGCAATTTATCTTTTAATTTCTAGACTCCAAGGGCCAAGGGTATTTATTGATTGTGGATCCAAGCAAGATGAAATCAATGAAAGGTTTAATCTTTTCTCCATCTACCATGATGTTGGCCTACTGGCCTAGTGGTAAGGATTTTTATTTTCTCGACACTGAGATATAATTAATTTTGAAGGCTGTAGATCTTCTGTAGCAAGAATTTCAGGTCCTCCTAAATTTCCACAAGCAAGATTGTCACCTGCAAAATGCAGGTTGTTGATGAGTTTTCTTCCAATCTTAATAATCACCTTTACCTTCACAGAATGCAGCTTCTCAAAAGATGTGCTCACTATACAGACTAAATAGGTATGGACAAAGGATATAGCCCCGATTCATATCTATCTTGATTTTAAACCATGCAGTGTTCCCTTGCTCTGTTAAGGCAATAGTTTCTTGGGTTTAAGGATAGATTTTATATGAGCACAATTAGATATTCTGGGATTTCCATTCTTTTCAATGTTAACCATAGTTTATTATATTCCACACAATCAAATACTTTTGCATAGCCAAGATTTATCTGATATCAGCAATGCTATCTCTGGTGGTATTGCCTCTTCTAAAATCACCTTGAACTTTTAGTACTTCTCTGTCAATGTAAGCTATTTTCTGAAGATTTTCTGCAACATTTAAATAATATTATTCTACAATTTACACATTGTTGGATCATTTTCTTGGGACTGGAAACAAACACACATCTCTTCCAGATCTGTCAGCTGGCCACCAGCTTTCTTCAAATTTCCTGTGAAAGACTGGTGAGTATATCCAGGGATGTTATGTATCTGTTAGTTAAAATAGGTCAACTGGTATCGTCTTCCTGGGGACTTATTTTTTGCCAATTCTTTCAGTGTAGCTTAAATTTTTTTCCCTTCATTACCAACAGTTCTGGGTTGTGTTACTTCCTAAAATATTTCCATGTCAACTAATTATATTAGGTGCAATCACTGTATTCCCTCCATTTTCTTCTGATGCTTCCTGGATCGTTCAGTATTTTGCCCATTGCTTCTCTCAGTATTATAAACTCGGCCTTGACTTTAGTTTTTCCATTCTCTCACCTTAAGAAATACCGTTCAGTGCTTCCTTTGCTTTTTTGACCCCAGCTCTTTGCACATTCTATTATGATCTTTTGCTTTGTCTTCCTGAGCTGCCCTCTGAAATATTCTGTCCATCTCTATTGACTCTGCATCTCTTCCTTTACTTTTGGCTTCTTGACACTCTTTAATGCAATTTTCAGAGTGTCTTCTAACATCTATTTTGGTCTTTCCCTCCCCACTCCTCTGTGTACATAGTGTCTTTTTGCTCTTTTCATGGATGATAACCTTCATGTTATCCCACAACTCATCTAGTCTTTGATAACTAATGCTCAATGCTTTAAAGATACTCTTGAGAAAATTTTTAAATTCATGTGAGATAGATTCAAGGTTGTATTTTGGTTCATATGGACTTGTTTTAATCTTCTTCAGTTTCAAACTCAACTTCTATATGAGTAACTGATGTTTTACTCCACAGCCAGCACAAAGCTTGGTTTTGATTGTTGATATTGAACTTCTCCAAAGATTCCTTACATACAATCTGATTCCTGTGCAGTCTATTAAGTTAGGTTCATGTGTATACTTTTTGCGTTTGTTAAAAAAGGTGTAATAAAATAAACAGCTCACTGGATATACAAAATTCAAACATTCATTCTCCAGCCTTATTTCTGTCACTAGCTCCGTATTTTGCAACTACCATTCCTTCTTCATTTTTTTCTAATTTTTGCATTCCAGGCACTGATTATTACTAATGCATCCTGACTGCATGTTTGGTCAATTATGGACTACAAAAGTTGGTAGTAATTTTCACTTTCCTACTATTTGGCTTAGTTACTCGTGCAGATGTTTGAGTAACAAGGGTATAATACAGGTATTCCATGCATGTGTGTGAATAGTAGCCTGTCACTCACAGCATTCACTGTACTTTTGATTTTGAAATGGTCTTTTCAGCGATGAATGCAACTTCATTCTTCCTCAATTTTGCATTCCCAGAATAAATCATAAGACTGACTGATTCAAGTGGTAAATGGCAGTCCATCATAGCTGATGAATTTACCCAAGTAGTAAATCTTTTGTGTTTTATTTCATTTTTTTACAATGTTCAATTTTCCTCTATTATAAACTATGAACATTTAGCAAAGCCCACTGAGTTGTTCACTTATAATTCATTTTCAGATGTAATTATACTTCAATAGAGCTGATTAAAAAGTGACTATCGTTTTTTCAATTTTGATATAGGAGAGCCTGTTTAACCTGAGAAACAGTTCATGTCAAATTTACTATTATACTATACTGCACAAAATAGTTATTATCTCTATTATACTATATATTGAAAAAAATTCCCAACTTTTAGCCATCAAGTCAGAACTGACCCAAAGCTGACCATTTAGGAGCTTTTCAGAGAATGTAAATCACAAGTGAAAATGAAGGGACAGCAGAAACCCCATTTTTTATAAACCCCCATTAACGCTAGAGGCAGAAGCGGGCCATAAAAATTCTTAGCTTAGGGCAAACACGAGTGCCCTGGGTAAAGCCTGGTCTGTCCTTGAAAAGTAAGAAATTAACTAGTGTCTACGTGACACAAAAAGAGTAAAGGCAGGCAAAGTAACCAGCCAATCAAAAGCCGACCAAATGACTGATCCCCCAGCCCCCCAATCTCTTTGCCCTAACAGGGCATTTCTTTGACAGGCATTTTGTGGGCAGAACAAAAACACTGTCCATCTGTCTCCCTTGGAGCATCTACTGGATTCAAACTGCCTTCCTTTGGGTTAGCAGTGAAATTCTTTAATCACTAAGCCACAAAATCTTCTAGAATATATCAAAGAAGCCAGATTTTAAAATATTTTTTAAAAGAACATATTATAAAAAGCTTTTAAAAGTTAAGAAAACATAATCACAGAAGCAAGAAAAAAGCCTTTGCCTAAAGAAATATAAATAGTAAAACTACAAACCTGCAAAATAATGTATAAGATTATCTAATGAAGGGAAAAAACGCCAGAAAAATTAAGGTGCTGCTTACTCTTCGTCTGGGCTGTGGGAATCCATCTCTGTGTCGTCGTCTAGTTCGAGAGCGTGCTTGGGTTCCTTGCCCTTTATTAAGGGGGTCAAATGATTCTATAGTAATCAGCAGAAAAAATGATGCTAGGTAAATAATTCAAGTTTAGATTATTGTGACTTATGAGATTATTATATTATTGTGTTTCTAGTAAAATAAGAATTTTACTTATTTACGTAAGAAAGCCAAAAGTTGCAAAATATCAAGAAAACTTATATGGGTACTGGGGAAAGGTAAAAAAGGTATTACCCATTTATAAAAATAATATGGTACAAATCAGTATCTTAAAAACCAAGTCGCTTATGCACACCCATGTTTAAAGCGGCTTTTTTTTTTTAAAGCACCATGGCACTTTAATGAATGTAATTTAGCAGTATAGAGACAAAATAACCCCTATCACGTTCAGAGCCTTCCATACATTGATTATATAAGGAAAGGCCAAGGATATTTCCTTTATATTTGTAGTTGCTAAAACATGGTATTTCAAAAGCATGGATGATGGCATCATTTGAAGGCAGTTCTCAA